GTCAAGGCTTCGCATCTTTTGCAATGGCACTAGGCGACGTTGCTTGCGTCTTTTCGGCCTTCTTGAGGATGCGAGCCTGCAAAACTTAAAGATCCAAGACACATTGGTTCGACCTGCTTGAGATAGACCTTGCGCCTTGACCAAGACCCATCTCCGAATGCTCAGAATTGAATGGTTCCCTTCCAGCCTCTACAAGATGTAGTGGGACGGCTTTTCGCAAATGGAATGGCACGTTGTCCACATCCTGGCATTTGGCATGTGGGCCAAAGAAACGAAAAGGGCATCACTTCATGCAGGGTGGTGTGGCGACCAAACAAGTTGCCCCTGTAGGTCATGCAGCAGGAGGCTGGGAACCGGTCTTGCTTCTGCCAGACACGAAGCAACTCGCTTTGCACAAATCAAGAATGCAAGAAAGTACAAGAAAGGCGCACCACTTCTGAATCTTCTGACTCATCCTCTGTGCCGGTCCTGCTTGCAGCGAAAGAGCTTGTGCTGCATCAACATGAAGCTTCACTCTACACAAGGAAGGAGCTCGAACGTTCACTGCCAGGAAGCGCCGTCGTGCTACAGCGATGATTTACTTGCGCCATTGCTTTTCTTGAAGATTTTAGATTTAGAGGAAGACTGTGGATTTGGAGCATCTCATTTCAAGCGCAGAGCTCAATCCTGCCGCTGTTACCAGAAAGCGCTGTGCTCTTGCGCTCCTGCAAGACTTGCACAAGCCGAGAAGCAAAAAGCAAAGCAATGAAGCAACACAAACAAAACAAAACAAAAAACGCAATCCACACATTGACATGGAACTGACGTTGGCTGAGAGACAGCACCCAATTTCTTAGAGGCCTCTCAACAGACTCCTCGCCTTTGACCGGATCCTCTCTTTGGATGACTTGTCCTTCGAGCCGCTAGCCGTCCTTCGATCATTGGGAAAACAAGTTCAAAATGCAACGGTGACAGTCTTGCATTTCAGGCGTTTATGAAGCAGAGCATGAAACTGGACGTCTCAAACTCAACAGCATGTCCTCCGGCTCACGTTGGACTTGGTTCGACCTGCATCAGAATCCACATTTCTGACCACAAAACACCAGTAGCTGTTTGAGATTGAACGTTTTCTGTCCCTGCAATAGAATGAAACAACATCAGCACCACTCGAGCGGAACACGGAATGCAACACAGATGAATTCTACTCGCGACCCAACAATGCGTCTAGCTTCTTCGCGCCTGCGTTTGCCTCTTCGTTTGTTGTCTTCCTGTGGGAAGTCGGTCGCGCTGGCAAAGCCTCTTCATTCGTTGTCTTTCTTTGTGATCTTGATGATTGGTTCGTCGAAGATCTACCGATCCTCAGTATGGTCACAAGTCACCCCACCTTGCTCAGCAACTTTATTATAGCATTGTGAAGCCCAGGCGTAGGGGTGTTCGAACAATGGAAAGGGTGATAAAATCAATCACCAGTATAACTGCGCGGATGAATCGGAGTGTGCGGGTGTGTGGGTGCGCGGGTGTGTGGGTGCGCGGGTGTGTGTGTGTGGGTGTGG